TTCACAGTGAAACATATAAGTGAACAGTATTTAGATAAGGCTAAAGAGGTTTTAGTGGCATTTATGGATTTGGAAAAGGCGTATGACAGGGTGGATAGGAGGGCAATGTGGCAGATGTTGCAGGTGTATGGTGTAGGAGGTAGGTTACTGAAAGCAGTGAAGAGTTTTTACGAGGATAGTGAGGCTCAAGTTAGAGTATGTAGGAAAGAGGGAGATTATTTCCCAGTAAAAGTAGGCCTTAGACAAGGATGTGTGATGCCACTGTGGTTGTTTAATATATTTATAGATGGGGTTGTAAGAGAAGTAAATGCGAGGGTCTTGGCAAGAGGCGTGGAGTTAAAAGATAAAGAATCACACATAAAGTGGGAGTTGTCACAGTTGCTCTTTGCTGATGACACTGTGCTCTTGGGAGATTCTGAAGAGAAGTTTCAGAGGTTGGTGGATGAATTCGGTAGGGTATGTAAAAGAAAATTAAAGTGAATACAGGAAAGAGTAAGGTTATGAGGATACCAAAAAGATTAGGTGATGAAAGATTGGGTATCAGATTGGAGGGAGAGAGTATGGAGGAGGTGAATGTGTTCAGATATTTGGGAGTGGACGTGTCAGTGGATGGGTCTATGAAAGATGAGGTGAATCATAGAATTGATGAGGGGAAAAGGGTGAGCAGTGCACTTAGGAGTCTGTGGAGACAAAGAACTTTGTCCTTGGAGGCAAAGAGGGGAATGTATGAGAGTATAGTTTTACCAACGCTCTTATATGGGTGTGAAGCATGGGTGATGAATGTTGCAGTGAGGAGAAGGCTGGAGGCAGTGGAGATGTCATGTCTGAGGGCAATGTGTGGTGTGAATATAATGCAGAGAATTCGTAGTTTTAAGTTAGGAGGAGGTGCGGGATTGCCAAAACTGTTGTCCAGAGGGCTGAAGAAGGGTTGTTGAGGTGGTTCGGACATGTAGAGAGAATGGAGCGAAACAGAATGACTTCAAGAATGTATCAGTCTGTAGTGGAATGCGGGGTAGGGGTCAGCCTAGGAAAGGTTGGAGGGAGAGGGGTAAAGGAGGATTTGTGTGTGAGGGGCTTGGATTTCCAGCAGGCATGCGTGAGCGTGTTTGATAGGAGTGAATGGAGATAAATGGTTTTTAATACTTGACGTGCTGTTGGAGTGTGAGTAAGGTAACATTTATGAAGGGATTCAAGGAAACCGGCAGGCCGGACTTGAGTCCTGGAGATGGGAAGTACAGTGTCTGCACTCTGAAGGAGGGGTGTTAATGTTGCAGTTTAAAAACTGTAGTGTAAAGCACCCTTCTGGCAAGACAGTGATGGAGTGAATGATGGTGAAAGTTTTTCTTTTTCGGGCCACCCTGCCTTGGTGGGAATCGGCCAGTGTGCTAATAAATAAATAAATAAATAAATAAATAAATAAAAATATATATTCAGATATATATAATATATATATATATATATATAATAATATATATATATATATATATATATATATATATATATATATATAAAATATATATATATAATTATCCCACTGATTTACCAGTGCTCATACCCACACCCTTCAATATGTACACGGGAAACAAATAATATTGTGTTTGTTTTTAAGACAATGCGTACAATATCAGTTGTGTAAGTCTGTGTTTATCAGTATATAATCCAAGTCCACAGTGGCTGCCCACTCCTGCTCCCTCTGCCATTCTTCTCTAGGCTACCACCCCCACAGTCAAGCACAGTTCCCCCTTCCCACAACTCATGCCCCACCTGACCTTCACGTTTCAACACACTACCTCTTCCACCCACCATACACCCCTTCGCTGTGTCCACTGTGACCCCCCCTCCACACCCTTTCTCCACACTGGATGTGTGTAATCAGGAGGAAGCTAGTAGTCAAAGGAATTGCGCAGTTGGTAGTATATGGAAAGACAAGTATGGATCATGTTTACAGGTTCATTGCTTGAATACTAATGGTTTCCTCTGTAAACATGGCTGTTGTCCTGGTTCAGGATGTCTTCCCGTAGAAAGTGATGACTTTCAGCCACTTCAGGCACTTGAACACACTCCAACAAATCTCTTCTCATCAGATAATATCTTAGAGGCAGTCAAAGTAACAGCTACCAGGACCCTCCCCATATACCAAGAGCAGCCCAGCCACACGCAGCTGGGAAACTCACAGCTCTCCTGGAAAATGTAAATTAAGATTCCTCTTTGCTAAATGATCCATCAACCATAAAGGCAGGTCAAAACTTGCCACTTTTTGGCAATGTCTTGTTAGACGTGCTGGAAAGAGGTGACAAGTCAGTACCTTCAATGGTCATTAAATCATTGAGATTTTTCCAGATCTGACAACTTCATTTGCCTTCCTCATCAACACAAAAGCGAAAGAGAACCCCTAATCATTCTTCTGACATTGAGATAATCAGAATCCAGATGAACAAAAAAAAACTGAAGAGGTCAATATTGGGAATGTAATCAAGATAATCACCAGCAAAGATACAGGCGACCCCAAGGATGCTGACACCGCTCACGCACCCTGCCAGGGAAACTAGGGGCACCAACAGTTCTAACACCACTGTGCCCACTGTGGAACCACTGCTTGTGCAAGAAATCTGCTGGGGGCTGCACTGGAATAAGACCAGCATTTAAAAAATGGTTGATCCAGTTCTCAGGGAGAGTGCAGAGACGCTGCTATTGGAGATCGCATAGCTCATTAACTTCTTGGGTGGTCTGATTTCTGATCAAATTAAACCTTTCTTCTTTGGTGCATCACTTTATTCCCTTACGAAACATGGAAGAATTAGTCTAATTGCCGTGGGCAACATGTTTCACAACCTCGTTTCCAAAACTGCTGTCCGAAGTATTTGCACAGAGGCAGCCATGATGCTTCAACCAAACCAGCTTGACTTTGGGGTCTCTCAGGGCAGCAAAGTAGCATTTCAAGTAGCAAGGTCGCACATCAACAACCTGATTGAGGACAATGCAGTAGATAAACTTGACTTCAAGACCGCATTTAATCTCCTGACAGATGTGGTATTAACAGCTGTGCAAGAACATTTCATTAGTCTCTTCTCTTTTTGCTTCATTTGGATACAGCAAGGAATCAGTGCTCCTGTCTGGTGAGCATGAAATCACTTCATCAGAGGGTGTCCATTTCTCTCTTGTATAGCTGTTAGGGAAATCATTGTCAGATGGACCAGTGAACTAAACATCTGGTGATGATGACACACAAAGTGATGACACAGGGACAGGATATGGGACTCAACCTTAATCCATCCGAATGTGAAATCACTCTGTCAGTCAACAAGTGATCAGTATAGCGAGATCAAGACTACCAGGTACATCAGTCATTGCCCCCCACAAGTAGCATATTGCTTGGAGCACGATTAGGAACTGATGCCAGTGACTCAATTCTCAGGGAGATACTGGACGATTTGAGGAGGATGGACCAACGAATAGGCAATCTTACACATCCATGATACCTTGTACCTTCTCATAAAGTGCTTGAATATGCTCAGCGTAACATGCTTCCTAAGATGTGCACCCCAATATGACAACTCTGTACTAAGCGAATACGTCTCTTGAGGCTGATATTCATTCTAGAAGATGGACAGTGAGACCAAGATGCACTTCTGGTCATAACTGCACTCCAAGCTCTCCTGTCTTCGTGTGTGTCATCCAGTTAACTATTATCAGCAGTTCTCTCTGAACACCTTAACAAAAATGTTGAGTTCTGTGACCAAAATTTCATTAGGATAATCTAATGGGCTCTGCAACCAGACCTGCTTCTTCCAACAACTACGAACAGTCACACTGGTATAGCCCAGTTGCGGAGAATATAGGCTCAATGCTTCAGAGTATGTCAGGAATTAACAGAGCTCGCCTCATGGTAATGAGAGCTCCTCTTGTGGGGCTTTCCTGTTGGCTGTCCCCAATTCCTTCCTTAGCACATGCCAAACACAGGTGTTTCTGCGGCAGTGAATCGTGTACCATGGTCTTGTTTACCGTAGATCTGAGAGGAAGATTACAAGGAATGAAGAGATTAATAACACCAAGAGCTGTATAGCCCTTGTGGCTTAGCGCTTCTTTTTGATTATAATAATAATAATAATAATAACACCAAGAAGAGCCTTGCAACAGCCCAGCAGTAAGGAAGCCACCCCAACTATCCAAATATGATGGCAACTAAAAGCAGCCAGATGAAATTACCCTGCGAGCCTGGACAGACAGCAAGCAGGTGGTGTGGGGCTACACATGTGAATCCACACTGGCTGATACCTATCTCCAGTACAGCAGGGAAGAAGTAGCGGCAGCTGCCAGCTTCAGGAAGTCCCAAAATCTAGAAAATATGACGAACCTGGCCATCATTATATGTTTGTTCCCATAAACTCGCAGATCCTTGGCTCATTGGGAAAGAGCATCTAAGTTCTTTAAGGAGTTAGTCAAAAGACTCATTAGGGCAACTAGGGATCCCAGGACAATTAGTTTTGTATTTCAGCGACTCGGTGTTGGAATTCAGATGGGTAATGCCTGTTGTAACCTGCGTATGCGCCCCAGGTCTGAGGAGCTGGATGAGATTTTTTCATGATGTAATTTGTATCAGTGTATATCAGTAATGTATGCCTCAAGCCTCATGTATATATCATCTACGTACCATAAACATACATTGTATAACGTTATGTATATATATATATATATATATATATATATATATATATATATATATATATATATATATATATATATATTCTTTTTCAAGTCGGCCGTCTCCCACCGAGGCAGGGTGACCCAAAGAGAAAGAAAATCCCCAAAAAGAAAATACTTTCATCATCATTCAACATTTTCACCTCACTCACACATAATCACTGTTTTTGCAGAGGTGCCCAGAATACAACAGCTTAGAAGTATATATATATATATATATATATATATATATATATATATATATATATATATATATATATATATATATATATATATATAACATATATAATGATGTACAGGGTTGTAATGATGGCACAACCAGCGGATATGGTCTTCGACGACCAGGAAGTTGTGAAGTTATACAAGGAGTCTCGTCCCACACCACCTGAGAACCTCATCTCTACAGTGGTAGACTTCGTCAAGGAGAAATTAGTAAGTGTTTACTGCTTGTTTTTACACGTGTCAGCATGATGAAGAACATTACTTGAAGGTTGTGTTTATAAGCCACAGTACGTGCTTCATCTCATATTATTGACAAGACGTTTCTTCCACTATAGATTTTGTTAATTCTCACGAGAAGTTTTAAAATTCCCTAGTGGGTGAAAAATGCCTTAAAAAGTATATTGTCTCATTAAGTAACATGTTTGTCACTATATGATGCCAGTGATGTATATCCCTTTGCTGAATGTTACCTGAAGGGCACTTTCAGGTTACCTGGAGGGCACTTTCAGGTTACCTGAAGATGATTCCGGGGTGATTGCTCCTGTGTCCGGGTCCCAGAACAGGTCAGACCCTTTGTTAGGTCTCCTTAGTAAGGATGATTTTAAAAATTATAGATTTTCCTACGACTACGAAGTGTGAGACTGTGATAATAACTTAAGAAAAAATATTTATAATGTATAACTTAGAAAGGTTAGGGTCGAATGTTAAGTCAGTACTCTACAAGAGGTAAGTCAGTACTCTGCAAGAGGTAAGTCAGTACTCTGCAAGAAGTAAGTCAGTACTCTACAAGAGGTAAGTCAGTACTCTGCAAGAAGTAAGTCAGTACTCTACAAGAGGTAAGTCAGTACTTGTTCCACCCTTTGTAGATGAATGGTTCAGAGAACCGACATGTTGATAAATTAGACACATGTGCAACTCTTGGGTATCTTTATTGAGGAAGCGTTTCGCCACACAGTGGCTTCATCAGTCCATACAAAGGAAAATCTTGAAGAACAGGAGGAGAATGAGGTAATCAGTCCCTCAACCTTGAGTCGATGTGGTCAGTCCATCAATCTTGAATAGAATACGGCATACGTGCGGAGAAGGAGCTTATAAACCGTTGGCAGGAGAGGTGCAGCAGACATAGGTAGTGTCACATTTGTTCAATGTGGAAGTAGGTCGTGCCCAAGAATTAGGCAAGCGAAGAATTCCCAAGTATTAAGATCCCAAGAGTTTCCTCAATAAAGATACCCAAGAGTTGAAGATTGAGACACTTATGCAGCATATGGGAATCTTTATTCAGGAAACGTTTCGCCACACAGTGGCTTCATCAGTCCATTACAAAGAGGAAGGCGTAAGGAGAGGAGGAGTATGAGGTAATCAGTCCCTCAGCCTGGAGTCGATGTGTTCAGTCCATCAATCTTGTAGAGTGTACAGCATAGGGCCGTAGACGTGGCTTATATACTGTAGTGAGGTGACTTGAAGCAGGTGGAGGCGGGATCATAGTGGTATCATCCACTAGTCGAAGTAGGTCTTTGTCCAAAGGTTGAACAAGCGTTGAAGAATTCTTTGTAAGAAGATCCCATGATGCTGCAGTGTCTGACAGTTGTGATGAATGGTTTGAAAAACCGACAAGTTGAAGATTGAGACACTTATGCAGCATATGGGAATCTTTATTCAGGAAACGTTTCGCCACACAGTGGCTTCATCAGTCCAATACAAAGAGGAAGTCGTAAGGAGAGGAGGAGTATGAGGTAATCAGTCCCTCAGCCTGGAGTCGATGTGTTCAGTCCATCAATCTTGTAGAGTGTACAGCATAGGGCCGTAGACGTGGCTTATATACTGTAGTGAGGTGACTTGAAGCAGGTGGAGGCGGGATCATAGTGGTATCATCCACTAGTCGAAGTAGGTCTTTGTCCAAAGGTTGAACAAGCGTTGAAGAATTCTTTGTAAGAAGATCCCATGATGCTGCAACTTGTGTCTGACAGTTTGTGATGAATGGTTTGAAAAACCGACAAGTTGAAGATTGAGACACTTATGCAGCATATGGGAATCTTTATTCAGGAAACGTTTCGCCACACAGTGGCTTCATCAGTCCATTACAAAGAGGAAGGCGTAAGGAGAGGAGGAGTATGAGGTAATCAGTCCCTCAGCCTGGAGTCGATGTGTTCAGTCCATCAATCTTGTAGAGTGTACAGCATAGGGCCGTAGACGTGGCTTATATACTGTAGTGAGGTGACTTGAAGCAGGTGGAGGCGGGATCATAGTGGTATCATCCACTAGTCGAAGTAGGTCTTTGTCCAAAGGTTGAACAAGCGTTGAAGAATTCTTTGTAAGAAGATCCCATGATGCTGCAGTGTCTGACAGTTGTGTAATGGACTGATGAAGCCACTGTGTGGCGAAACGTTTCCTGAATAAAGATTCCCATATGCTGCATAAGTGTCTCAATCTTCAACTTGTCGGTTTTTCAAACCATTCATCACAACTGTCAGACACTGCAGCATCATGGGATCTTCTTACAAAGAATTCTTCAACGCTTGTTCAACCTTTGGACAAAGACCTACTTCGACTAGTGGATGATACCACTATGATCCCGCCTCCACCTGCTTCAAGTCACCTCACTACAGTATATAAGCCACGTCTACGGCCCTATGCTGTACACTCTACAAGATTGATGGACTGAACACATCGACTCCAGGCTGAGGGACTGATTACCTCATACTCCTCCTCTCCTTACGCCTTCCTCTTTGTATGGACTGATGAAGCCACTGTGTGGCGAAACGTTTCCTGAATAAAGATTCCCATATGCTGCATAAGTGTCTCAATCTTCAACTTGTCGGTTTTTCAAACCATTCATCACATACCCAAGAGTTGCACATGTGTCTAATTTATCAACATGTCGGTTCTCTGAACCATTCATCTACAAACCTGTCAGACACTGCAACTTCTTGGGATCTTAATACTTGGGAATTCTTCGCTTGCCTAATTCTTGGGCACGACCTACTTCCACATTGAACAAATGTGACACTACCTATGTCTGCTGCACCTCTCCTGCCAACGGTTTATAAGCTCCTTCTCCGCACGTATGCCGTATTCTATTCAAGATTGATGGACTGACCACATCGACTCAAGGTTGAGGGACTGATTACCTCATTCTCCTCCTGTTCTTCAAGATTTTCCTTTGTATGGACTGATGAAGCCACTGTGTGGCGAAACGTTTCCTCAATAAAGATACCCAAGAGTTGCACATGTGTCTAATTTATCAACTTGTTCCACCCACAGTACCGTGGATGGAACAAGTCACCACAAACTCGTACTCAGGAGGTAAACATTATGACGACTTTTGTCCCCCTCGAACTATTGTCAAACCAAATGAGGCGAGAGGAGTAGAGAGCAAGACAATAAGGTACGGGCGGAGGACGCAGGGAATTCAATTCAATTCAAAGTTTATTCTCTATAAGGATTACAATGCTGAGTTTACAGCATTTGGTTATTGTGTGGTTTACATGTAGTAAAATAATGATTACAGAGTGTACCACTAGAACACCTAGCATGGCTAGGCATTTCGGGCAGACTTAGTTTAATTCTTAATTTTAAAATATTACAAATTATGAGGTAAGTTGGTATTATGGCTAAGTGACTAAATACTAGTTTGTGAGTTTAGCAACGTGAATGCTTTTGCTTTGGCACAGTACATAGTTTCAGTATTGGAGTATCACAGGATTCATTATTTTAAGATTGAGATTAATACTACACGAATACCACCAAGTGGTATTCGTGTAGTTAGTTGACGGGGTGTATCAGGGAGATAAGATGTTTTCTAATGGTAGTTTTGAAGGTGATGAATGTGTCTGCAGTTCTAGAGTTCTCAGGTAGGGTGTTCCAGATTTTAGGGCCTTTGACATACATTGAATTTTTGTAAAGGTTTAGTCGGACACGGAGAATGTCGTAGAGATGTTTGTGTCTGGTGTTATGCCTGTGGGTTCTGTCACAACTATCAAGAAAGCGTTTTAGGTCAAGGTTGATATTAGAGTTTAAGGCCCTGTAGATGTAGAATGCACAGTAGTAAGTGTGGATGTACTGAACAGGGAGTAAGTTTAGGTCTATGAAGAGTGGGGGGGGGGGGGGTTGCCAGGGATGGGATTTAGTGATTATTCTTACTGCAGCTTTTTGTTGGGTTATTATGGTAGCAGTAGTAGTGGTGGTAATACTAGTAAGGGTAATAGCAGTGATAGTTGTAAAGAGATAGTAGCAGTGGAAAAATAAACAAATGCAATATAATGTGATCCATTATTGACAACGTTTCGCCCACAGTGAGCTTTATCAAGTCACAAACAAATCTACCTGGGTGAATAGTATTTATAGGGTGAAGATATCTGTATATCTATTAATTTCAACCAGAACAACGGTTTCTATAACATAGCTGAACTCCTTGCATTTGTGTTTATTTTTTCCATCTTGTCGGTATTTTATACCATTTACCTCCAGATAGTATCAATAATGTCAGTAGTATAGAGTATGGTAGTCGTGAAGTTAGCAATAGTAGCAGTAGTAGTAGTACAAAAGAGCATAGGAGCTCTGCAGGAGATATAGAGAACTACCCTGGGCAGGACTTAGGAACATAAGAAAGGAGGAACACTGCAGTAGATTTATTGACCCATACTAGGCAGGCCCTTCTAAAACCCAAAGTCTGGAACTAACTGAAGATCAAGCGACAGTGTTGAGACTTAAATATTGTCGGAAGGAGAGGTGCAGAGTTAGTTCCAGACTTTGGAACAGAACTTCTCCAGGCTGAGGGACTGACAACCTCAAATCTACGACTTCAAGGGTGATGGACTGATTACATCGTCTTCTCCTCTCTACTGCTCCTGCCTACTTTCTGTACTCGACTGAAGAAGCCTACTGTGTAGGCGAAACGTTTCGGAATAAAGTTGCCTAAATGTTGCCTGTGTGTCTTATCTACCAGCCATGCCTGTCGGCATTTGATAATCAACATCTGGGAATCTTTAATGTAGACGTTTCACCATCCAGTGGCTTTATCAATACAAATTCTAGGACAAAATTTGAAGACAATAGAGCTATATACAAAAGATGAAGTAATCAGTCCCCCAGTCTTGGAGTTGGTGTGAAGAGCACCGTAGTCGTGAAGAATCTGGAGCACAGGCAAAAAAGCAAACAAGTTCAGGTAAGATCCCAATGGGATGAGCGGGGAAGACGGGACAGACGACGAA